TATAAGCTTAGGTACCTAACCTCATCAAACTACATCATTTTGCATTAAATTTTCATTGCAATCATCCAAGTTCTTAAACTTCATCCCTAAACTTGATTTACTTCAAAAAAATTTGGAAATTCATCATTATATTTCTCCTACATCCTATCATTTGTAGCGTTAGGATATGAAGTCCATCAGGTGGTATTCGATAGAAAGATGTGATGTAAAGGAAAGATATTGGTGAAAGTCCAAAGATTTTGAAAGTAATCAAGTTATGGGGTTGAAGTTGAAGAACCTTAGACAATTACAATGTAAATATGACACAAACCGATATAGTATTATGGAGTTAGGTACCTAAGCTTATATAAGGTTGTTAGGTATATTCACTTTACCCATATATATATATATATATATATATATATATATATATATATATATATATATATATATATAACTTTTTTGAAATCTTCATTCAATAGTGTTTTGAAAGATGAACTATATCTTTAACTATTTTGAAATTCAAGTACGAAAATACCGGATATTGTTTATATGTTAACAAAAATTAATGTCTAGTATACAAGATTGTATAAATGGAAGACAGTACATCTATAAGGCATTCTTTTTTATCTAATGGGATATCTGTTTTGTAATTATATGTTTCTTATCATCTTTAGTTTAATTAGTTTTTAGGTAGATGTGTTATAATTTTTCTATACTAATAAAAAAAAAAGTAGTTTTTGCTTTATCTTGTGATACTATATTCATAACCTAACGGATTGAGTTTTTTTTGTTCATTTCTTGCTCAATTTTTTATGGGATAATGACTTGAAAGAGTAACGAACTTTCGACTTTTGTCACATTTAGTCACTAAACTTTTTTTCGTTATCCATTTGCCATTGAACTATTGAAACTGTTCACATTTTACCCTTATGACCAGCTGTTGCCGGTCATAAGGGTAAAATGTGAACAGTTTCAATAGTTCAATGGCAAATAGATAACGAAAAAAAGTTTAGTGACTAAATATGAACAAAATCGAAATTTCGTTTCCCTTTAAAAAGTTCAATGACTAAATGTAAACAAATTTCTTTTTGTATTATGTTTTAGCAATTTATTTTTGTTAAATTGTAGCAACATTTGTTGATGAAGAAATCTATGAAATAAAAAAATAAAAAAATAATAAAATAATAAAAAAAAACCCTGAAAATATATTTAGAAAAAAAAAAAAAACCAAAACCGAAATACAAAACCAATGGTTTGACATTTTCCAAAATAAAAAATTCAAAATTTCCAATCTGATTTTGGTTTTACAAAAAAATTAACCATTCTCACTGATGTGAATTATGACCATTGGTTTGGCATGCGAAATTTGTGACATCCCATGAATATTTAGTTACAACATCGTCTGAACTCGTAATTCATAGTAAGGGGTTAGAGTATCATCGCATGAATACGTAGTTACAACATCGCCTGAACTCGTAATTCATCACCTACAGGTTATGGACCTGTTGGTGTTTCCACTGGGTTGTCTAGAATAGTCCGTGGTTGCCATCTATACTCTGGTAGATGACTACATCGCCACATTGTTGGTTAAGGTTATGGTATCTCCTTTTATCCTACATCACATATTCATCATCATCTATATACCTAATTATCATCACCTTTCTATCATCACATATCTCTCATCATTTTATTTCATCACACACCAACTATTTCATCTACCCATGTTTCATCCGCAACATATTTGTAGATATAAAATAAATATACCGTTTAAATCTTTTAAAACATGTATAAAATCGTTCATCCAGCATAGACAGCAAGTATTCAAATAATATGCACACATATCACGTAATTTATATAAAATACTTCATATCTATGTGTAAGATGAAAGTAACTATATCTACCATAAAAATCCCACAAATGCTTCCTAACTTCGAACCCCAAGGTTTACTCTACTAAAGCTTCATATTCTCGACTCTCTGAACCTAGAAGGGTCGATATCTATCACACCAAAAAGCTCAAGATAGCTCTTCCTCTCACTCTACACACTCAAGCTCGCTAGGGTTTTCACTTATGGGAAAGGTAGTCGTAATTGAAGGCCATAAGTGCCTTTAAATATGGCTCGGGCCCAAAGATTTAGGGTTTCTGCCAACAACGCAGACTCGTCGAGTCGCCTCACTGACTTGTCGAGTCCATTCATTAATCCAAGTTACCAGTTGCAACCTTACTCGACGAGTTGAGGCGTCAACTCGTCGAGTCTCTCTTCTTAAATCAAAAGAAAAATACTTAAATTATGATACCTGGAAATCCGGATGTTGCATTTTGTTTTTTTATTTCATAGATTTCTTCATCAACAAATGTTGCTACAATTAAACAAAAATAAATAATTTTGCTAAAACATAATACAATAGGAAGTTTGTTCACATTTAGTCATTGAACTTTTTAGAGGGAAACGAACTTTCGATTTTGTTCACATTTAGTCACTAAACTTTTTTTCGCTATCTATTTACCACTAAACTTTTGAAACTGTTCATATTTTACCCTTATGACCGGTAACAGCCGGTCATAAGGGTAAAATGTGAACATTTTCAATAGTTCAATGGCAAATAGATAACGAAAAAAAGTTTAGTGACTAAATGTGACAAAAGTCGAAAGTTCGTTACCCTTTCAAGTCATTATCCCATTTTTTATTTGTGCGAATTTTAGTCCAGTTTTTTATAAGAATTTTTCATTGTTTTTACAATTTGTTATAAGTTTTCTTAAAACTTTGTCCTTTTAATAATAATATTATTATTGCAACTTCTCTTTCATATATTTTTACGAATATGTTTTTATATTTTTTTATAAATTTACCATTTGTACAATTTTACATCTTCGTTTTTATATACGAATCATTTTCCTTTTTATATAAGTGATTTTCCTGTTTTTATACATAAACAATCACATTTCTACTATAAATTAGATTCTGTCTATTATATATACATAATTTTCTGCAACAATACGCACAGGTTACCCCTAATTACATGCATTTTAAAACCCAATTATTACAACTTCAAATTTTATAATTAAATCATTAATTTCAAAATAGACGTCCAAAACTTCTTAAAATCTAAAAGTATCATATCTACAATTAAGAGAAGATTTGTTTATGATATTATGCCATGCTTATCAGCTATTTATGTAAAACACGTTTCTATAAAAAGATGAAATTATTTGTGATGAATAAGTTCGAAAGACTAGTCCTCTATTGTGATTTCCTATCCTGTTTCCTATCTTGTCATTTCCATTAACACTATTACATAAAATCCGTTTGGTGGGACCCCCAAATATTATTATTTTTCTTTTCACATTTCCTTTATTTCTTAACACATTTTGCCACGGTGTCAAATATTGACCTCCAAATACCTTTCTGAAATTTATTTTCAAAATTTCCTTATTTTGTATAAATATTTAAAACAGCATATTTAAATTATATTATCAAGATATCCATACATTAATAATCATTTTCATTTTTAGGAGAATATTTACATGAACAATAACATGTAAAATATATTAATTTATTAATAAGTGCCTTACCGGTATATATTAAATGTTTTGAGAATTTTTAGTATTTAGGTTATAAAATAACTCAAATTAAAGAAAAAAATATTTTATTTGAAAATACGAGTGTAAAATTCTTATTTTAAACAAGAAATCTCACAAGCCAAAGCTATTTCAAATATTTTAAAGCTTTTAACGTTTATTTTTAATACAATTTTGTACTTAAAATAATAATAATAATTTTATCATGTCATAAGAAAAGATAAAATGATACTTTTCCACTTTTGACAATGTTACGTAATACGTATATTGTAAAATAATACTAGTATATATAGTACACAAAATTTTACCGGTCAACCATGGTACACGTGGCGTGGGTAGCATAACTAGTGAGCCACGGTGTTGTACTACCAGTTGACCACGTGGCAAAAGTGGGCCCCATACGGAACAAGTGGCATTGTGGACTAAACAACCGGAGCACCCTACGCATATCACATTGCTCGCCACTCTCACTTGCAAGTTGCAACTTGCAAACGTTACCATTAATCCCATTTCCTATTTTGTTACTTTTTATTTTTATATAATAAAAAATGAATCGTTGGTTTCACGAAACCACAATTTAATTGGTTAATAACAATTTGGAATTTGATTTTATTATTTATAATCATATGCTTTTTGTTATACTTCTTTTCGGAAAAAAACTTGGATCTGTAGACATCTACAGATAATATTTATGTTTATGTTATGTTAGACAATACTTTCGTAGTTATGTGTTTTTCAAATATGAAACCTTAATGTTATCAGCCAACTTTCCGACATTCCCAAATGTTGCTATATATAATTCAAGACAATCCAACTGGTTATATCTCTGTAGTATTATACGAATAGAATAAATATGAAGTTATGAACCCGATTAAATGAACCTTTTAAAAAAACGCGACTTGTATAAAAATTACTTGGTATCATATGCAAAGTGCAATGTTACAACACATGTGTAGAGAAACATATGGAAATTTATATAGACAAGGGATTACGAAATTTCCGTTTTGGGACATTGCGTTCGAGAACCACACTTATGCTTTTGGACTCACACATGCCTACCGTTATGTGAATGCCAAACAACAACATATTTGATATCTTTACGATATCAATTAATATTCAAGACGATAAGATAAGAAGACATATGAAATAAAGTTATATTTTCAAGAAGATATGATACGAAGTTGTATGAATCAATTATATTTTCAAAACGAAATGATACGAAGTTATATGAATTTTGTTAGATAGACACCCACAAAGAGAATACCATGTAAGAGAATTATGTATATACTCTTAATAAATATCAAAATATTATATTTGACAAATCCAAAAAGGATTTTATACAAACAACAGGGTGTGGTGCGTGCAATCAGACGAGTTCAAATAAGTGGTTTCCAGAATACCCATACATATATGAAATAAAGCTATATTTTCAAGAAGATATGATACGAAGTTATATGAATCAATTATTTTTTCAAAACGATATGATACGAACTTATATGAATTTTGCTAGATAGACACCCACAAAGAGAATATGATAAAAGAAAACTATTTTTGTCACAGCAGCCAACAAAACAGGCCTGGTGATCAATGATTCCATCCCAACAGGTGGTTCGGTTAAGCATGACAACCCGACGGCAGCTCCGGCTCCTTCTTTGCCTTTGGTTTTGGAATCCCGACTCCATGAACCTAATCAGGAATTAAATGCGAAAACTAATGATGCATCAATTGGTTTTTCGGGTGGTTTTGGAAGGTTATCGGGTATTGTTGATTCAGAAGATAATTTAACTCATCTTCCAGGATTTTCTAATGGTAACAACTTGGCTGGTTGTTCGGGTGCTTCGTATAATAAAGGGTCTTTCTTAAGTGAGATGCAAAAAACAATGAAGATGGGAAAGGCAATGGGATACGATTTGGAGGGATGTAATGATCGGGTAAAAGAAATTGTTGAAGGGGCCGGAGATAAAATAGTGTTGAGATGAATTGTCTCTCCATCAATATTCAAAGAGCGGATTGTATACATAAACGGACTTGGGTTCGAAACTTGTGTCTTAAAAATAAGCTGAATTTGTTGGCTATTCAAGAAACGAAGATGGAAGTTATTGATGTTTGTATGGCTCGGTCTTTTTGGTGGAATATTTCTTTTTCCTACGCTTTCTCTCCTTCTCGTGGAGCTTCGGGTGACATTCTTCTTCTTTGGGATTCAGATTCTGTCTCTTTTAAATCCACCTATATCTCGGATTCTTTTATGGCTATCGAGGCGATATAGGCTTCTTCGGGTCTTCCGATCATGTTTATTGTGGTTTACGCTCCACAAGGGGCTGATTCCAAGCGTCTTCGATGGGATAATCTTCTCCAGCTTATTAATTCTTTCCAAGGTGACTATGTCTTGATGGGTGATTTTAATGAGGTTCGGGATGATCCGGAAAGATTTGGTTCTATGTTTCACTCTAATACATCCAGGAGTTTCAACAATTTTCTTGAGCAGGCAGGTTTATTCGATGTTCCTCTTGGTGGTCCTCGTTTTACATGGAGTGACAAGTGGGGTTCAAAATTTAGTAAGTTGGATAGATTTTTAACTTCTCAGGGTATTTTGGATGCTTTTCCCCATTTGTCAGGTATGGTTTTGGAGAAGTATACTCCGGATCATAGACCTATTTTACTTTCGGAGCATAAAGTTGATTATGGGCCTACTCCCTTCCGTATCTTCTATTCTTGGTTCCAATTGGAGGGGTTTGATGATGTTGTCAGAAATTTGTGGTCCCAAGATCAGAATTTAACCAGGGTTTCGCATCCTTGGGTTAAATTTAACAAGAAGCTTCAACTACTTAAAGCAAATATTCGTATTTGGAACACATATTCTAGGGCCAAAATGGGTTCTAAACGCATGGAACTCCAAACAATGTTAGAATCGATTGATTCTTCTCTCATGATGGATGGGGGGAATGCCTCCTTACGGGAGCAGCAAGTTAATATTCTTAGGAATATCACAGAGCTAGACCATGTTACAAATTTGGAGTTAGCCCAAAAGGCGAAAATCAAGTGGGGCATCGAAGGTGATGAAAACTCGGGTTATTTTCATGGGGTTATAAATAATAAGAGAAGACAAATGGCTATTAGAGGTGTTTTGAAGGACGGGTGTTGGATTGATGATCCTAATACGGTGAAGGAGGAATTTGTGGTCATTTTAAAACTCTCTTTTCTACGCAGGAGGGTTCTCGGCCCCGAACTCAAGAATCCCATTTTTCACATCTGTCGCCTAATCAAATCCAATTTTTTCATGCTCTGTTTTCTAGAGAAGAAATAAAAAAGTCAGTGTGGGATTCTGGATCTTCAAAAGCTCCAGGTCATGATGGCTTCACTTTTGGGTTTATAAAGCGGTATTGGGATATTGTTCAGGATGACATTTTTGACATGGTGTCACATTTTCATACGCATTCGTCTATTCCAAAGGGATGTAATGCTTCCTTTTTCACTATGATCCCAAAAATTAGAGACCCGAAGGTTGTAAAAGACTATAGACCTATTAGTTTGATTGGTTGCCAATATAAGATTATTAGTAAACTTCTTGCAAATAGATTGGCCGAGGTTATTGATAGTCTGGTTAGTGTGGAGCAATCGGCTTTCATAAAAGGCAGACAGATTTTGGATGGTCTGTTTCTTCTCAATGAAATTGTAGCATGGAGTAAAGCTTCTAAGAATCCGGTTTTGATATTAAAAGTGGATTTTGAAAAAGCTTATGATTCGGTTTCATGGGATTATTTGCTTGAAATCATGTGAATTATGGGGTTTAGCTCTTTGTGGTGTAATTGGGTTTTGGAGATGATGTCTTCTGCTACAATCTTCGTCCTGTTGAATGGTTCTCCATCCCGGGAATTTCAAATGTTCAGAGGTCTGAGACAAGGGGATCCCCTATCTCCTTTTCTTTTTTGTGTTGGCCATGGAGGGTTTGCATGTGGCTATTACTTGGGCCCATATAGTTAATGCTTATAAGGGAATCAAGATTGGGGGAGTTTCTATTTCCCACCTTTTATATGTTGATGATATGGTTCTCGTGACAGATTGGAATCAGGAGAATGCACTTCATATTGTATGTATTCTTAGATGTTTCTTTCTAGCTTCGGGTCTGAAAATCAATATTCTTAAAAGCAAGTTGTATGGAGTGGGAGTCACGGCTAATCAAGTGTCTTATATGGGTAATTGCATGGGGTTTTCCCCAGACTATTTTCTGTTTTCGCACTTGGGGGTTCCCGTTGGTCAGAATATGGCTAGAATTGATTCATGGGCTCCTGTTCTTGATTCTTTCCGGAAACGATTAGCGACTTGGAAAGCCAAGTGTATTTCTTATGGGGGCGTATGACTCTAGTTAAAGCTGTCTTGGGTTCGGTTGCTAGTTATTTAATGTCCATTTATCCAATTCCTCTTACAATGATAAAGGAGTTGGAGAGATTGAGATCAGTGTTTTTTTGGGGTGCTGATTTGGATGATCGTCGTATGCATTGGGTTAGGTGGAATAAAATTCTGGCCCCGAAAGAAGTTGGAGGTTTGGGAATTGGAAATCTTTTTGCCTTTAATAGGGCTTTATTATTACGTTGGAAGTGGATGTTTTTTCATAAACCAAATTTATTATGGGTGAGGGCCGTCAAAAGTATATATGGTTTGGGGGATAATAATAATTCTTTGATTCCAAGGAGACATTGGAAGGGTCCTTGGAATGGTATTACAACGATTGTAAATAATCTCAAGGATGGGGGATTTGATTTCCATAACCTAGCTCCTATAAGAGTTGGGGATGGGGCGTATACTTCCTTTTGGCATGATAACTGGCATGGCAATAATTCTCTTTCAATTTCCTTTCATCGTGTCTTTGCGTTGGATATGAACAAATCAGGTAATGTCCGGGATCATTTTTTAATGGGGTGGAACACTGATGTCCTTAGACGTATCCCATTCATGAGAGTCTTGCCTCAATACCTACTTCCAAAGTATGATCGACTGTGGATGGTTTGAATAACCTACTTATTCGGGAAGTCAAAACATGCAAAGTGAAACACAAGAATAATACTAATCCTAAAACTTTTGAGCTATATTGATTAGTCATCATTCATTGTATAATGTTTTGAATAATCAACTTAATACTTGAATTAAAACAATAGTAATGTCATTCTCCAAGCATGCACACTATATTTGTCTAAACACTAGTTATTCCATGCACCAAGTATGCACACTATGTTTATCTATGGTCCTTAATTTGTGAAATAGATTAATTGAAAAACATTTTAATGATGCTCATTTCAAAATTCCAAATCCTTATTGCAAGTGTAAGAATTCCAAATTCTTGTCACCAATAGAAAGTGTTAGATTCTAGATAATCATGAAATGATTCTTTTGTAATGTCTAGGTGCGAAAAGTAACAAAGACTTGACCAATGATATTACAAAATATTCCTTTGGAGATCGTTACAAGACAATTCCATAGAAATGAAGTCTCAGATTCAAAGTACATTCCTTTGAACATCCTTTTTGCATGAAAGTTTCTAACATTCTCATCTATTCTTCAACCCCCAATATGGAAACATCTCATATTTGCCATACTACAACTCATTACTCCTGTCTATTCATAATAATGTCAATATGATCCTTCCATTGCTATACATCTAATTGTCCTTAAGCGACTAATCTTTGGCGAACATTAGATTGTCTTTAGCAGTTGTTTAACCACTTTAGTCATATCCGTTTCTATTCCAGTTTCCCTCTTAATGCCCTAGGCATTCGAAAAATTAGAACACGAGAATATTATAGCATATGTAATCGATCCTATACCCAAAGCACATGGGATACGATTCATAATGTCTAACATAAAGACATGATACTTAATCAGTCTTTTGCTATAATATTTCAATTTGCATGTTCTCATAATTTTGATTATAAAGAGATATGTCGTAATCATAACCAAATTTTGAGAATGCAATTAACCTTTCCATATATAGAATTTCCTTATGTTGAACCATTCCAACATAACATTCATATATATTTGACTAAAATTGATTAAAAACTCAATCTAAGCTTTTTGGATTTGAAATGAAGTATGTATTCCTCTCCCTTAATTATAGCAAAACAACTATTCAAACCCTGAAACTTTTGTTTTCTATAAATAACATTGGTAACTTGCAACAATAATAATTATGTTCCCACTAGCATATAAATTATTTTGTTACTAGCATAACATTTATGCTTCCACTAGCTTTGACATGCATTTAGAAATTAGATGGACTTCTAGAAATCAATACTTATTGACTTTCATGACCAAAGTTCAGATTTCTGATACGAGATGCTTCGCTAAGACTTTATCTAGGCTTCTCAAACTCATACATCTTTCCTTAGATAGCTCACATGTGTGTCTAAAAAATTTAAGAACTTACAGCAATAAGTCTCAAATGTTTAGACCCTTTTCCATTACTCACAATTCAAATTATGAAGATGGATGTCGTAATCATAATTGAATTTGAGAATGCAAATATCACAATTGCTATCTCCTTAAAATCTAATTAGTGAAAGCATTTCATCACAATCATTTTCATGAATTGGAGAGAAACCGTATGACACATAGATTTTATGGTGTATGTGTTCCTATCCATGTGAATTTTTCATAACCATAGTCATAAGACAATGTTAGAGACAAATCCAAACTCATATGGACTGAACTTGTTAATCTTAATTTCTTGCCACCTGGCAACACAAGGGCTAGTCATTGCATCCATGTTGTTATGCAAACAACCGAGAAATCATAGAACTCACATGCATAGTCAACGTTAACAGGAATGGGCACAAAAATAAGAATATGTCAACACGATAGGTTATAAACTTCAAGTTGTGTGCTAGTGATAAATAATATGTAAGATCCCGAGTCCAGGAGTGCAAGTTCAGGGTTGAAAGTGTAAATTTGAAGGGCAACTCGGCGAGTCCATGGGTGGACTCGGAGA